GTTTTTTGACTGGGATGGTGGGGGGGGCCCCCGTGGTGTGCGCATGGTTCCGGATTGGCTGCCGGCCGGGGGGGGGAGGGGGTGCTTCTTAATAGGGAACAGTGACGAACCCCTCCCCGAAGGGGAAGATTTTTGGAAGAGGAAAGGAATACATCGTTAGACCACCTGCGCCCAGAGGGCTGATGGGACTCGACAACAACAATCATGTTGATCTGCTCGCGTTTCATTCACCTCGTGAGTCCCGAACCCTCGGTACCCGCCCTCTACGTCTTCGATCGTACCCCTTTTGGGGGGTATATCTTCCTCACCTGCCACGTGCAACTAGCGCAGACCCTAAAACAGGAGAGGAGAGGACGGATGCAATGGGGAGGGAGAAAGATCACAGAAAGCACGTGGCATAACCAGACGGGCAGATCGGGCGGGCAAACCCTAATGGAGGCGGGCCCAGGCGGCCAGGTCAAGCAGGCGGGTTGCTGAAGCGTGAGTCCAGCATGAATCGCGAGGGAATTTCGAGCGATAACGCGATTCCCTAGTAAATCGCGAGGCGAGAGTGTGATTCCTGAGTGTCGAGGGCGCGGCGTCTGCATTGATTGCGAGGGCGTCCCACGCGACAGCACGATTCTTGCATACAATTTGAGGAAATCCCGCTCGAGAGCGCGATCTTGAAATAGAATGTGAGGAAGTATCAGGCGGGAGCCGTTGTTGATGTTAGTCGGGGGCCAGTGGCCCAATCTGAGCCTCAAGATTTTCCTTTGTAGACAAGCGGGGTGCGAGCCCTGTGAGGGGCATTGTCATTTCAGATGTGCTGGTGTCGCCGGCGGGGGGATCAACAATGACTTTATTCTTTCGAAATGAGAATTCTTCACGCTTCGCGTATTTTCCCTTGAAGAAAACAGTGTGCGAACCCCAGGGGAAGCACCTTAGTTGTCGCAGGAGGGGGCGATCAACAACAACGATATTTTCGAAATGAGATCGCAATCCGCACCGTGGAGCCTCACTTCAGCCACGCGCGCAGGGACAGTGAATGACTGTTCGGCCCCCTTACCCTCACGTTCTTGTGAGATACGCCCGCAGCCCAGAGTGGGTGATCTGATCCTTCAACGATTGAGCGGAGAAACGCTGAGGCCAGATTCTCGTGATTGAGAAATATGAGCCCCACGACACGATTCGCGCCGGCGCCGTCTGGGAATGAGCGATTCTTAGGCATTCCCAAACCGCGCTGGCGCGAATCGTGACGTCACTGGCTCCCTCCCCAACCCCGTCCCCCCCGTCACGCCCGTTTTCGCCAGGGGATACAGGAACGTTTTCGATATGGTTTATTCAAGACGCTTCGCGTTCACCGCCCGCCCATTCCAGTTCTCGCCGAACGAGGCGAAGACGGCTCCATGCCGGGATAAACATAGGCAGGAATTCATACAAGTCGTGTGCTTTGTTGTTTTTGTCCCGCGTTCTCTCTTTCTATGTTATCGCCTACTATGCTCAGGCATGCCTCGTGGCTGTTCGACAGTAGGTTTGTCGTACTTGCTACTGTTAGTGGTGATGGTGCTGCGGCTGGTGTTGCTGCTGGTGTTGCTGCTGTCGCTCCTGCTGGTGGTGCGGTGCAGTGCGGGTGCCGCTGCTGCTGTTGGTCCTACTTATGCTGCTGCTGCTGGCGCTGCTGGCGCTGGTGCTCATGGGGCCGGTGTTAGTGCTGCTGCTGCTTGTGGTGCCGCTGCTGTTGTCAGTCGTGGTGGTGGTGCTGCTGCTGCTGCTGGTGCTGGTCGCAGTGGTGGTGCTGCCGCTGCGCTGGTGGTGCTTCTGCTGTTGACGTTGCTATCTGGGGGGCCTTTCGGGGTGCTGCTGAGGCTCCGTCGTTGACCTCTTGGGGCTCCTCTGTGTCGGGTGTCACGCGCGCCCGATGTCTGAGAGACGTGAGTGGGCGCGCAGCGTTTTGTGTCGGTGTGCGGGCGTCAGCAGGTGTCAGTGGCGGCATGCTCCCGTGGTGGGTTGGTGTCATGCGGTGGCGTGGCATTCCCGTAGTTCTGTCGCGCTTGTGCAGTCGACTGATCCGATGGTAGGGAAGGCGGCATGCTCCCGTGGTGGGCTTGTGTCATACGGTGGCGTGGCAGTCTCGTGGTTTTGTCGCGCTTGCGCAATCGATTGATCCGATGGCAGGGAAGGTGGCTCTTGAAGTGGGTTCTCCAATGGCTGACCAGATGACTGGCCCGAGGTGTGCCGTGGTAGATGTCTGGGTGCTTGTCCCGACGGTTGCCTGGATTCTTCTCCCGTTGCTAGTCTCGGCGGTTGCCCGAGCGGTTGGTTGCCCCGACGGTTGCCCTGGCGGTGATCCGGCCGGCAAGGCGCCAAGAAGGGCCGAAGAGGAACCCGAAAAGGGCCCAAAAAGAGGCTAAGAAGGCCCCGAGGTTGTCTGGGGGAAGCCCAGAGCGGCTCAAGCGACAGCACTTCCGCGTTGGGTCGCAACCGCGTCCGTCTTGCAGTAAAAACCGCGCGGGGTCTGACCTGGTTTGGGGTCCGTTTTGCGGCCCAACATGGGCCCCGCAGCGTCCAAAATGTACCCCAGAGCGCGCCCAAAAACGGCGAACAAAAGGGAGTGATGAAAAATGACGTACGCGAGCCCGGAAGTCAACTGTAAGCAGCGTCCTGGACAGCCCCGGGGAAGCCGAATTCAGGCCAAAACCATAGTATTTGCTATGTTTTTTTACATCGCCACGCGTCGGCGAGAATGAGCCAAAGAGGCGCTGTCGAGGGCTCCGGGAGCGGATATTGGAGGCCAAGAAGGGGCCCCGACAGGGCCGAAATGGAGCCCACAGGCGCCCCGGCAGCGTCTTCAGAACGATACCAAGATCGAGTTTGTCTTGGACGCCGTCGTGGAGCCGTTTTGGAAACCGAAAAAGGACATTGCCGCAGCCGGGCGGCGGAATGGCGGAGGCCTCTGGGGGGGGAAAAGGGGGGGGCTAAAGCTCTGTAATTAAATCTCACACGCCCCTCAGCTTTTCGCCAGGGGATACAGGAACGGTTTCGATATGGTTTATTCAGAGGCTTAGGCCATTCCGCCGACCCCAAGAAGGGTCCACGGTTGAGGCGTCGTGTGCTTCTTAGGCGCCATCTGGGGATTCTTGTGAGCGTCAGTTTTATTGCCTTTTTTGGGCCTCTTGAGTGCTGAGGCTCACCGGAGTATTCTTTTGGGCCGCTTGGGGGCTTCCCAGAGCTTTTCGAGGCTTCTTGGGGCGGGGAGACTGGATTTTCGGTTCGTGTTCTCCCTTGGCCTCTCTTGGGGCCCTCGATCTTTGGCTGTCTTGGCACCCTCTTTGGGCCGTCTTGGAATCCTGTTGGGCCGTCCTAGGGCCCTCGTAGGGGCCTCTTGGGCAGTTTTGGGGCGGTCTACGCGACCTCTTGGGCCGTCCTGGAACGTCGGAAGCTCGAGAAGACGATAACCCCAGCAATAATGAAAACCCTGAAGAAAGCCATTGACTTTGCCTCTCGGGGCCCTCTTTGGAAGGCTCTTGGGTCTCTCTTGGGGCGTCTCGAAGGCGTCTTGGGGCGTCTTGGAGCCATCGTAGGCGTCTTGGAGCCATCGTAGGCCTCTTGGGTCTCTCTTGGGGCGTGTTGGGCCAATCGCCGAACTTGGCGCGTCTGTGAGGACACGGAATGCTGATTTTGGGAGCTCCAGAGTCAGCAGGGAGGCGCCTGGGAGCTCGCGCCTCCCCCGCCCTTCAACGAGGTTTGAGCTCTAGGGGAGGGGGCCCCCAAACGGGGTGGTGACCACACCGTGTGGTGAGTCGGTGTCACCGCACGGTTTTGGGACTCGGGTCGTTCTCCGAGGACGTCTTGGGCGACTGGGGCATCCGAGGTCACAAATCCGTGCGTTGACAAACCGTGCGGTGAGGTCTTGGGGGATTTCGAGGTCACCGCACAGTCTGTCACCGCACCGTTTCCGGACTCCAGATTGGGGGAGGGGGAGAGGGGGAGTGGGACAGCCAATCATCGTACACGCCTTCTCACCCCTGGCAAGCGGAGGTCGGCGGATATGTTCAAAGAGGCAAGGAGGAGGTGGAGGAGGAGGAGGAGGAGGAGGAGGGAAGGAAGGAAGGAAGGAAGGAAGGAAGGAAGGAGGAGGAGGAGGAGGAGGAGGAGGAGGAGGAGGAGGAGAACGCGGGGCACCGTCTCTTCAAAACGAGGACCCAACACCACAGGATGCTTGGGAATTGGGCCTCCCCTGGTGCACGGGTCCTTGGTGTTTTACGTGTGTTCATATATATATATATATATATATATTGCCCTTATCATGTGGCTCCAATCCGCAGTTGTTTATGTATGTCAGTTCCTATAGATTGGGCCTCCCCTGGGGCACGAATCCTCCACAGGATGCCCCAGGAGGCTCCAGGAGGCCCCAGAAGGCCACACGAGGCCCCAGGAGGCTTCAGGAAGCTCCAGGAGGTTTCAGGAGGCCCTAGAGGCCCCAGGCCCAAGCGCAGAGACGCGCTCGTACAAATTGGACTTATTCACACTCCTACTCATTCACAGTTAGATTTTGAAGCAGTTGGTTATCGACCACAGAAGGGGGGAATGAGGAGGAGGAGGAGGAGGAGGAGGAGGAGGAGGAGGAGGAGGAGGAGGAGGAGGAGGAGGAGGACCGCTGCGGCCGCCATGTCCGCCTGGCCTCGTCTCTGGTTTTGCCACGCGCCCGACGGGTGCCAGCACGCTTCCGCGAGACTCACCAGGCTGCCGCCGCCGCCACCGCCGCCGTGTACCACCAGGATGAGGACGAGGCTGAGGAGGAGAGTCGGGTTGGACGTAAAGGGGGGTTCGGGAAACGGCGTGGGGCACAGCATCTGTTGCTTTCCTCGGTGCATTGTCTCCTATGGCGCCGGGAAAACCAGCTGCGTGAGCTGATTCGGGAACCCTCCCTGAACTACCCCCCTTCGTCCGACCCGAAGGAGGAGGATTGCGACTCTGCTGTTCTTGGCCAATTCTCAGGAAGTCACTTCGACCTGATTCGGATGTGCTTCGCGGGCAACTACTACGTGGAGATGCGCGAAGACCACAAGCCAGAGCGCCGGAGCCTCGGGTCTGGCCTCCTCGGGCGGGTGGTAATGGGGGGTGTCCGAAATTCTGGGTGAAGAAGTGTGCCCTAAGAGGGGCCCTTGAGGGCCCCTTTTGGAGACAGCGGGGGCCCCAAAGAGGCCCTAAATGGCCCCTTTAGGGTTCATTTCTTCACCCCCTCATTCAAGTCACCCCCCATTGCGGGAGGCTCGTGCGGCGTTGGCGCGCCGGCGACGCACGCGAAGGCGTTCAAGGTTGAACTTTGCGACGCCGAAGCACCGATGGACACTGTAACGCCATGCGACCCGACTGAATTCAATCTTGGACGATCGGGGCCGCGATTGATCCAAGGTTGAACCATCGACGCGATGTTAACAGCCTTTGCGCGCGCCGACGCCCCACGAGCTTACCGTACCACCCACCCGCGCCCCTCCTGCTCCTCCTTCTCCAGCGTCTGCGGCTGCTCCTGCTCCCGCGCTCTCCTTTCTAACCGCTGCTCTCAGGTCGAGGGCGTGTTCGACGCTCGCGCTCCACGAGCGAGTCTTTGCGCCACGCGGTTCCTTGAGTCCCACGGCTCCCAGCCATGGGGGTCGGCGGGAGGAGCGGGCGCGGGCCACCGCTGCGTCGGGAGAAGTGCGAGGCATGAGGAGTGAGGGAAGAGGGATGTTGATGGTGTTGGTGATGATGACGCTGCTGATGAGGAGGAGGAAGATCATCATGACGATAATGATGATGAGGATGCGGAGGATGATGATGATAATGAGGATGATGATGATGATGATGCAGATGATGATGGTTGTGATTATGTTTATGATGCTGTTGATGGTGATGCGTATGCTGGTGATGATGCTGATGGTGATCATGCTGCTGCTGATGGTAATGATGATTATGATGATGAGTCTGATGCTGCTGCTGCTGCTGATGATGATGATGCTGATGATGATGATGATGATGTTGTCGACGATTCCGACGATGCACAGGGCGATTACGGTTATTCTTGAGGTTCCGGTTATGTTGATGTTGATGAGTATGATGTCGATAAGCTTACTGCTGACTATGATGATGACGGTGACTATGATGGTGACTGTGATGGTTGTGCCAATACGTATCATTCTGCGGACGGTGACGACGATTGTGGTGACAATGATGTTTTGCTGCTGCTGTTGCCGCTGCTGATACTGATGCTGATGATGAGGCTGACGATGATGTTGCGGCTGATGTTGCTGATGACGATGGTAATGCTGATGATGATACAGATGATGATGTTTGCTGATGGTTATGATGCTGCTGATGCTGCTGATGCTGATGATGATAATGCTGGTGCTGATGATGCTGATGCTGCTGATGATGAGATGATTCGGATGATGATGGTGATGTTGATGCTGATACTGATGATGATGCCGATGTTGCTGATGATGATGGTGCTGATGCTGCTGATGGTGCTGATGATGCTAAGGAATCTGATGATGCTGCTGCTGCTGCTGATGATGATGATGATGCTGATGCTGGTGATGCTGATGATGCTGGTGAAAACCAAGACGCACCAGCGATGTTGCAGTACACCCTCCCTACAAGTTCCCTCTTCATGGGACGCTGTAAGAGTTTATTTTCCTTGCTGGAAGTGCCTTAATGGAAGACAGTAGAGAATCATCAATGGTGCCAAAACCGTATTCTTGGGATTTCAACGTTGCGCATTAACGTGATTGTTGAGTCCTGACAGTGGTATATAGTGCGAGAACACCATTCCTGGGATACCAACCATAAGAATCCTTGAAGCTGCCGCACACCTCAAAACGAATAATGTGGTGCGCCAATGCGAGACTCATATTTTTCAAAAACTTCGCCCTCCTTTTTGAAACCGTTGCAAGTACTCAAAACGAACGTTCGCGACGCTAGGGCGGGAGCAGCGTTTTGAAATCCATGCGCATCTTTGAAGCGGCTGCAAGCTTCAGGATCATAATTGGTGAGAAAATCTCAGGCGAAACGGACCGACTTGCCAGCACGCCTGGGGGTTCGACCGATTTTTATGTCCAAGTCTATTATGTGTACACGTCTAGATGCACAGGGAGATGATGACGGAGGAGGAGGAGGCGGAGGAGGAGAAGGAGGAGGAGGAGGAGGAGGAGGAGGAGGAGAAGGAGGCGGCGTCACGCATTGTGGAACGGGGGGGCGAGCGACCCCTTAAAAGGGGGGGAGTTGACGGCCTGCACCCCTGGCGCTCTGGCCGAGGCGGCCGCCGCTTTCCTGCCTCGGGCGGCCTGCCCCTGCGGGGCTGCCTCGTCCCAGGAAAGACCGGAACATCTCAACCCCCGCTCGGCATCCAGCGGCCTGGAGGCCCGCGGAGGCCCGCGGAGGCCCCAGGGAGGGGGAAGAGAAGGCGTCCGAGGGGGAGAGGGCCCAGGACCACTCGCTTCGGACGCTGAGCGGGGGGGGGCATTCCTCGCAGCACCGAGGACGTGCTGTACCTGGGAAGACGCCCTTGCCAACCCAACACTCAACGTGATTGCGGTGCCCTGTGGAGGGCCTGCCTTGACACGGCCCATGGATCCCCCCTCGCAGGCCTCTTATTGGAGCCTCGGGCACACGCCCCACATTGGGAGCAGAGGAGGAGGGAGTCCACAGGGCGCTGTTCCCTACCTTCAAGGACCTGGGCCACCACAGCCTGTGCCCCCCGGAAACACCAAGCCTCCTGAGGCTTTCGAGATCCCTCGATGGAGACCTCCCGTAGGCCTTCCAAGCTCTCAGGGTCCTCCTCGGGCAGACTGCCCTTCTCGCCAGAAGGAGGCTGGCAAGCCCCTGGCGTCAGGAGCCCAGGGATGACTTCCAGGGGAACCGTGGTGAGCCATTCCAGCCCATCATGGTCATGGAGCTCCGCTTTACTGATATGCATTTGCTGGGAAGCGGCAAAGCGGCCCATCTCGAGGGCAAGGGGGGCACGTCCTTCGATCACCAACCTCTGCTGCTCCGTCGCACAGAAAGGCTCAGCGCCCATCTTGGCTAGCCTGCCGGCGTGGCCACTGCTACGCCACCGTACACGCGAGACCCTCCCTCATGGCCGCTTCACTCTGGGTGGCCGCAGCCTTCATGAAACGCTCCTTCGCACCTGTCGGCCGCTCGGGACCACAAGTGGCAGCGTACCTGGGCCTCATTGGCTGACGCCGGCAGCCTGGCCCCAACTGAGATCATTGCCGTTCAATCAATGCCGAGCTCCGCCCTTGGTTCAAGGACCGAGTGGAGCCCGAGCTGCAGGACCGCGAAGCCCTCCCCGTCCTTGGACGACTGCTCGGGGGCCTCGTTGGGGGGAAAAGCGCGCCGTAGAGCCCGTGCGGGAGGTCCCTGCTCTCATTCGCTACTGCGACTGCCCAGCCCGCGACGCGCAAACCTGGGGAGTTCACCACCCACCAAACCACCCCAAACCCAACCCGAAGGCCTCAATTTGCCCTCCATTTCCAGTGGTGGTGGGGGGGGGGGTTGGGGAACATGGAAAAAAACACATGGAACCCGTACCCCCCCCTAAGCCGAAACTCGGGTCAAATTCGGGTCTTCGGGTTGGGTCGGGGTGGTCTGCTAGGCAGTCAGGAGTGCATCTCGCAGGCAGCACGCCCCACTCGTGAGTATCTTCCATTCACTGTTAATCGCCAGCACGCCGTCCGCGGGCCAGTGAACTCTCTGCGTGTGCGTGCTGTCGGGGTCCCTGGAGGTAGACAGGCGCGTTCCACTGCTCGTAGAGTAGCTGCTCGCAAATGGCCTGGATCCGCCACAGGGGATTTACGATATATGGCACATAGGCAGACGCACGGTTTTCTGACGTTTGCGAGCAGGCACTTTGCGAGTAGTGGAACGCGCTCGGCGAGGAGGGCCTGACGAACCACAAGCTGGGGTCGGGCAAGACGCATCTGGCGAACAGCTCACCTTTGTTCTCGCTCTCAGTCTTGAGCATGAGCATGCGTGTCTGAGCAGCCTTGGCCAGAGTTCTCCAGAGATTGTCGCGGCTCCACGCCGAAAGCCTTGGGCAGCATAATCTCTTGCGGAACAGAGTCCCTCGGGCTTCTCTGTATAGCTTTAATTCTGTGACGATGCCGCTTCCATGAAGAGCCATCCGAGTCTGGGTCCAGTATGTGTTGTTCACTACTGCCTTTAGTGATTGTTTGTGGTGGGCATGCCGAGACGACGAACCAGCAAATGTCGGAGAGGTTGCCAGAACATCTTTCCTTTCCACGCTGCAGAATTCGTTTGATTCATCTGCTCGTGCCTGGTTATGTCCCTGCTGGGACTTCTCGGGCCTGGGCGTTGAAGAATGCAGGCGAGTGCTGGAAACTTGGCCACCTCCTTCCACCGTCATCGATCACAACCTTCTGGGGTACATCTAGGTACCAGTCAATGCGCCTGAGCGTGAGCATGAGGGCTGCAGTTGGGCTCTTGGCCTTGTTCCAAGGAGACTTCGCGTTCGACGCCAGGAGGCCGTCCTCGCGGCCCATCTCGATCACTTCCCAAGACACCTGTCGGTTCCAGATGACGCCGATGAAGTCTCTGAGGGTCTCTGAGGGTGACATTGGCCTGGGGGTCCTTGGCCAGGAAAGGGTCCAGCAGGAACTTGAAACCCAATGACGTGCCTGGACGCGGGGGGATGCCGTCTTTACCCTTCGCCTCCGAAGGGCCGTGTCGCTGATCCCCATGATGGGGGCTTCCCAGGTGGCCTTGGCTAGAGGCCCTGCTCGGGATCCTCCGGCCACCGCGGCCCCTGAACCCAGCCTGCTGAGCTTGGTCGTCGTGGACTTAGCGTCGGTGCCCCTCTGGAGCGCCGATTGCAGCTGCCTCTGGCCCCCCTGGTTGGAGTCCCCGCCGAGGTCCCTGTGGGAGCGCGCGGGCTGCTGGTCTCGGATGTCCCATTCGGGGTGCTGGAGGAGGGTTCTCGAGGGCCGGGGGGTCGGAGTCCATGGACTTGGTCTTGCCCGCGTTGATGGGCAGCTTGGCCATGGCCATGTGGGCGACTACCTCCTGGTGGGCCTGTG